GTTTTTATATAAAGCAGATGAAGTTGTGAAAGTGGGTGTTGAGCAGATAATTAGAGCTATTCAAATATGGCATAATACACGGTGCAAATAATCAATTTGAGGGCTTTGCTTTTCTCTTTTAAATGGTTTAGGCAAACGCTGTGTCTGTTTTATTTTTTTGTGTGGGCAGATTTTTTTCATTGTCTACTAAGGTATAACACACCTTGTCTGAGACTGAAATAAAAAAGACTGCTTAAAGAGTTTAAAGCAAGCAGTATTTGTAGTGGACTAAGACAAAGTCTAAAATGATGTCTAGATATAAAGCCAACCCACGCATCTGGCAAGCACAGAAAATCCCACCATTAATTCTCCACAAATAAAAACATAATATCTCCAAACTAAATACACAAATATCTCCAAATAAATACACATTAGGAGATGGCCACTTAATGGTCTCTAAAATAGCACTGGAAATGTTTTCAAGTCTGAGTAGAATCTTGGAAAAAATATGATATATTAAAGGGAAACAAAGGAGCTACAAAATTTTATATACATATAACATTTTTTATAACACAATTTATATACATATAACACTGTAAAAAATACACGTGTAAAAACAGTAATGGCTACATTGGGTGTTGAGGAACTTTGTTCAGTGGGAGAAGACTCTGTTTTTATAATACGATTGCTCTTACAGATTGGAAAGATAGAGGAAGTCACTGAAGAAGTCTTACTGAAAAAAATGCAATTTTGCTATGGGATGATTTGAAGGATGTAGGAGTAGTTACAAATCTGGGTGGTGCTTTCTGAGAGGTCAAGACCTAGAAGGATAGTATGTGTTGGGTCAGAAAAGAAAGGGGAACTTGGGGCCAGAGAGCCAAAGGATGTGAACACTTTGCTATGGAGTATGGAGAGGACTCTTGAGACTGAGGGAAGGCCCTGGAGCTCAGAGGAGGAAGTCTTGATCCAAGCTGAGTTTTCAAGAGCTGCTCTAGAGAGCGTAGTTCTGCAGCCATGCTAAATGCAGACACAAGCTGGAAGTGGAAACTGGGCCCTAAAACAGGAATGGCACTTGCTAGCTTCCGGAAAAAAGCTCATCACTGAACTGATTTAATCAAAGGACCTCAGTGTTGTCTCACCACCTGGTCCTGATCAGGAAGGTATCAGAAGTAGTAGTCTATGCTGATACAGCCTAAAATGCCCAACTACACAGGGGATACACAAGACGGGGTTATTCCAGTGAACTTCTGAGATTTGGAGCAAAACCACACACACACACACACACACACATACCAAGGCTTTTCAATTTGTGGAATTTATACCATATTATCAAGAAATCAGAGAAGAAACAAAAAAAGCCTTCAAGTAAGAAATGTGCCATGCACCTTTAAGAAAGCCAACGTGTTCTGGCTCAGTACATTTCACTGGGCTGGCCCTAAGGACGTTGCACCAATGAGTGGAGGTTTTCTCTTCTCTGTGCCCGGTGCTCTCTGCACTGCACGCATGCTGGAACACTGCTAAATCTCCTAAAACTAGTGACTTGCGTGTACAAGGAAAACACCATTTATTTGGTCTTTAAATTTTTCATCAGGCACCTAAACAACAGAAAGCAACCCAAACACACAAGAGTCTCCATGTATCCTCAATGTATGAGCACATTTAATACATCAGTTGTATCATGATGACTACCAGACCATGTGTGAAGTACTAGTGAATTTCACTTTCAAAAATATTAACAAGAAGGAAGGATAACTTTGGACATTTTCTTATCTTCAAAGGAACAGTCTTTCCCTTCAGACCACTAGAATAGTCACATTTGTCCACCCACCCGGGATGGACAGTGATCCTCTGTCACTGAGACTGGACCTTCTGGCAAGAAAGCCTTCAAGTTCACTGTAGCCAGGCTCCTGACGGGAAGGTGCAGGAGATACTGTTTTCGGTTGCTAATTCTCCAGCCTACATACATCTATGTCAACATGATAAATGCCTCAAACTGCTTCATTTCCCTATTCATTTCCATATTTCCTTCACTCAAGACAGCCCTCCCAGGGGCTGGGGATTTAGCTCAGCGGCAAAGTGCCTGCCTGGCAAGCGCAAGGTCTTGAGTTCAGTTCCCGGTACTGGAGGAAAAAAAAAAAAAAAAAACAAAAAAAGACAGCCCGCCCATGAGAAAGTTTTCCATCACCCTGGCACAGGATGGATTTTGAGCCTCTGGTGATGACTTGCTTCACTATCTCATTAAGATCCTCGAAATCCTGATTTCCTAATTCTTCATTCCTTTTGCATTTATTATCTCTGATTTCTCTGTAGTTAACAACTTTTTCTCATCAACCATTTGATTATTTCAAATATAATTTGTGCTGGAAAGGCAGGAAGATCAAAGCTGGCTTTTTTTTTGGCTTTTATTTTTTTGGAATAATGAGTTGGTGTTCTAGTAATTTGTAAAGGTGACTACACTTTGTGGGGCTTTCTTGCTTGATGCATCATTTTGGTCTCAACTTTTTTTTGTCATTTGTTTGATTCTAATGTACTGAAATCAGTGATGTTTTCATGTTCAGATGACCCCGTTTTGGGATTCTGTGTCTTCCCAGTTCCACTGCAGTGGTCCTTCTTAGCTTGCTTTCCTTTCCTTATGCCATGATCAGACGGTCTATCTTGAATATGCCCTGCACTGGACCTGCACCCAGCTCTTGATCCTAAAAAGAGGCTCCTCCTACTGATAAAACGTTCTTAGGGAACCACATGATGAGCTAAGGGACTCATTGCTACACATCGGGCTGCTTTTACTTTTGGTCTTTTTCACAGCACAGAGCTAGGAAACTTCTTTTTAAAGGAAAAAAAAAAAAAGAGTTCATATTGATAGTTCCTATTCAAGCTGAATATTATATACTCCAATCCTCCCCTTTATCCTAGTCTGAAAAGCTTGGTTCCTCCACTATAACAATTTTAAACAACACAAATGTTATCTGAAATAAGTAAATGTTATTTATTTCTATGAATGTATAGGCAAATAGTGCCTATGGTGTTTGTTGATATTCTGCCATAAAGTTCCTTGTCTGTTTTGTTAGGAAGGCAGACAAATGTGGCAAATTTCCAACTCCTGCTGAATGAGTGTCAGAGTAGGAAACTTATCTCTCTACCCAGGTTAATAGAAATTACATACATTTCCAGCTTCAGTAATATATTTTTTTCAGGTACTGGGGGTGGAATCTAAGGCCTCGCGTATGCTAGGCAAGTACTCTATGACTGAGTCACATCCCCATCCCCCTTTTTATATTTATTTTGAGATAAGGTCGCACTAACTTCCCTGGGCTGGCCTCGAACTTGTGATCCTCCTGTCTCAGCCCTGAGTGGGTGGGATTACATTTCAGTAACATTTTGAACAGTGACCTTCTCTTCAGTCAACCAGTACTATGGAACACAAAATAGTTTGAAGGTCTCTAAACCCCAACATTCCAAAAGAGAAGTCTACATTTTCTAGAACCCCTCTCCTCTCTAGGTCCAGACACAGGAAAACACCATGTTTTGGAGGGCACATGCCTACCACATCCTCCAGGTGGCTTAAGCCATTCTGGACAGAGGTAACATCTTATGTCACTTGGAATAACACACAGTTCCCTTCTTAAGTTTGTTTCGTGCCACCTCACTGCAGCCTCTCAAAGGTTCACGGCAAAGGCAAACCACAGACTTAACTCTAATCACGTCTCACTGTGCCGACAGCCACCTGTCACCTACGGTGCCAGGTATTAGTTGTTTCCAGAACCATGTGCTAGGAACAAGTTGCAATAAAAGTATAATATAGCTCCAGGGGCAGCAATAATGTTGACAATGCATACAGCACGCCCGTGCCAACCTGTGTGAGCTAGAGAAATGTTTAAATGTAAGTTGACTTTATTTTTATTTTTTATTTTTTATTTTTTTTAAGTTGACTTTAAAAACTACTCCCTTCATCAGCTTTAACCTTCTTAACTTTCTCCTTCTTTGAACGGACACCCAAGGATTAAGCCAGTGTGTGCGCTGCTGCATTTAGTGAGCCTGGATAAAGAGTAATTTTGGGGAGGCTGCACACAAGGGGACAGGGTGGCTGTGTGGGGAAAAGGCAGGCAGACTGACACCTCTGAAATGATTTCTACAATGGAAAATCTCGGGTGAAAATTATACAGGTAATTTTAGAAAATGGGAATTTTCAACTCTGAGCATCCAAATTAACTGTTTAACTCATGTAGCTGCTCATTTTCAGAAAAGAACTTTACCTTCTCTCTCTGGTGCACTGACTTAAATAATGTATTTGTTTTGGGCACAAATGCTATCAAGTTGGGTAATTGGACTGATAGTCACCAACTAATTAGAAATAAGGCTCTACTGAGGCAAGTAAGTGGAAAGCAACAGTAAGAACGCTGGTGAGGACTGGAAAAGAACGGCCTAGACACAGAAAATCCTAAAAGCCTAGCAGTGGGGCCATCGGCTCACTGTGGGTTTTACCTGCTGTCACTCTGCCCACATAAAATAATCACTGCTACGGAAAACAATGCTATCAGGTCAGCAGGAGAAGCGAGAATCTCATTGAGTCCAGCATTCAGGAAGTCAGTAAAGTATAAAGCCGAGTTTAAAACAGTTGCATTTACAAAAGGTGAGATGTTTTCTTTGAAAAGTTTGGTGCTTAGTACATTAAGATATAGTTATGCAGAAAGGAGACTGACACAGAAGACATCTCTGCTCATTAAAAATGAAGGGGACCCTCGACAACAGTGGTGTGGCACAAGGCGTACTGAGGCTGTACCAATCCAAAGTTCTTTTCTAATGGCAATTTGAAGTCAACGTTTTTCTCTACATCTGCAAGGCTTTGCACAAAATGCTCACTTGGGGTTTCAACTCCAACTATAGAAAAAATTCAGTTATTCCCGAGGAAAAGGTTCAGGAGCACACACTTCTACAGCTAAGGGTCCTGAAAATAACCACCTCAAATAGATGGTTGTCTTCAGTGGCATTCTGGAAAGCAGAGGGGAAACATAAATACTCACGAAACATGGTATAAAACTGCTGAGGGTTCAGATTCCATTTTCCCCAGGGGGTCTTGTGGCCTTTGGACTGAGCATAATTTGCATGATTAAACTCTGGCTCAGTACCAAATGAATCCAGGACTCGAAGCATGCACCTGAAAGAAAAAGGGATGTGTATAAAGCTACAACCTTGACCTTAAAGTCCAAAGAGAGATAGTTCTAGTCTCTTCTTTAAGGACTACCACAAAGAGGCAAACACTTTAAATTGAAAATGCTACCAGGCAGGAATTGATGGGTGTTATTTTTTTAGCTTTGCAGGGTCAGGAATTGAGCCTAGAGCCTTGCCCATGCTGGGCAACCATTCTACCTCTGAGCTACATCCCCAGCCAGTAATGCTCTATGGCATGCAGTGGGCTGTTTGCATCATTAAAAGCTCTGTAAGACTTGCTACTACTGCTCTAGAATAACTGATACACCAAACATCTACATGCACCGATTTGAGAACCAAAGCCATCACAGAGTGGACAGGATTTGCTTCACATGGCCTGACTAAACATAGCGCTGCTCAAATATCGTTAAAACGAAAAGTGCCCGAAGAGCTACAGCTGGGGATGGTGATATTTACTGCTGCACACCCAGCACCCAGCCAGGGCCAAGCATGCAGCAGTTATTAACGAAACAGAGCTACCACAGCTACAGGGCTGTCTGCTTGAAGCATAGGCCATGTGTTACCTCTTCCGGTATAAATGTGTAACATTTACGTCAGCTAACCAGACTATTTGATTGTAGATAGAGGTTATGCTATTGTGAAGAATCCCCTGAAAGTTCATGTGTCAGAAATTGCATCCTCAAATTCCTCTGTTGATGGCAGTCTGAGGTGGGGCCTTTGAGAGGTACTCGAGGTTACATGAGGTCATGGGGGGGGGGGGTCCATGACGGCATCAGTGGCTTCATAAGAGGAGGAGGAGGAGACGCAGAACCTTGTGCCCTGGCTCTTGTTCTCTCTCCTTGCCATGCCTTTACCCAGGCAATGGCGTGGCAACACGTTCCTCCCCAGATGTGGCTCCTATACCTGGGACCTTCCAGCCTCTGGTATGGTGAGAAATTAATCTCTTTTCATCATAAGTTACCCAGGCTCAGGCATTCTGTCACGGCCACACAAGGCAAAGTATGCTTAGAATCTTATTCAGCAGGTGTGATAGGTTTTATGTACCTAGTAACAGTAAAATTTACTGCTTTATTTCTAGAGCCTGACAAAATACAACTGCAGATGTTTCCTTTGCCTGTGTCGCCAAAGGCCAGAGCTGGCCCCAACACCTACTTTTGTGTGGCTGTGCGCTAGGATGGTCTTCAGATTCTTAAGTGATTAAAAAACAGGAGATACTTCGTGACGTGTGAAGAGTACATGGATTTCATATTTATGCATTTAAACATGAAGTTTTATGTGAATGCAATCACATGCTGTTTCCACCCTGTCTGTCACTGCCCTCATGTTACACGAACAAAGCTGATGATGCACATGTGTACAGACTACAGAGCCTCAAATATTTACTAGGAGGCCCTTTATAGACGTCTTCCGACCACAGCATCCAAGAAAGAACCACCGACTGGAAGGAGTTAACATTGAAACAAAATTTACTGATTTTGGTTACACTGGTTTCAAAACCAATTTTCAAAACATTCATGCAAATTAAGATCCTGGATGGCTAATACAAACATCTATTTTCTGTTGTTACTCATCAATCAATAATACTTCTGAATAACTTTTACTGGAGCAATAAGCAAAAAAGTAAATAAAGATTAAAGCACACATTTTAGAATCACATGAAAGCAATGACTTTTAAGGAAAATACTGTTTCAGTTTTAAAATTTTCACATCACTGCAAGAGTCTGAAACAACAACAACAACAAAATCCAAATGCCAGAGTGGGTTTTCTAAGAACCACAACTGTTAACTGCCATTTTTGTGTGCTGATTTCTTACCACCATTTGTTTACACGAGGAAGGAAAAAAGAGCATGAGGGAAGGCTATGACCACAGAATGAAATAAAGGCTGACCACAGAAAGAGTTCCCTTGTTTGTGTGGCTTTCATTGACCACGCTGTCATTGAGATTGCGATTTTCTTCAGACAGGGTCTTACTATGTTGCCCAGGTTGTCCTTGAAATCCTGGGCTCCCATAATCCTTTTGCCTCAGTCTGCTGAGCTGCTGGGAGTATGGGTGTGCACCACCAGCCTGGCTTGGCAATTTGCACAGTATCAACAAGGACAGTGACTTCAGCCTGACAACCAACAGGTACACAGAAACAGGCCACCCACAGCCTCAAAAAAGAAATCACATCTAGGGGCTGGGGACTGCCAGCTCAGCGGCAAAGTGCCTGCCTGGCAAGCGCAAGGTCGTGAGTTCGGTTCCTGGTACCGGAGAAAAACAAACAAAAAAAAGAAATCACATCTATATGCTTCTCTAAGTTAAGTTGGTGACTATATTTTTAACTTTGAATTTTATTACTGTTCCTATTAATTTGGATAATTAAAGCCAATCTTGGTGAACAAAGTTCTCTGGTAAGAACCTACCTCCTTATAGCCTGGGCCTCCCTGGAGTCAAGATGCAAGCTACATCTGGTTTCTTGGCAACAAGACTACAGTGATGAGATGTCTCAAGAAACTTACAATTCGACGTCTTTTACTTGAAGCTTTGGCTGGAGCATTGTTTATTTTCTAGCTTATACAAGTTTGTTTTATATACCAGCAGCAGGGGACTGACCTTTATCTATGATATGGGAGATTCAAAATTGTAGTTCTCATTCTTTGATCACTTTTTACATCTGTTTTGGAATTGTGTTTGTGTTCTTAATCTTTATGTTATCTCTCTAATGCTTTGGTGTGTCTGGGACATAGGGAACAGACTACAGACTCGAGGATACTTGCTTGGATTCTTAAGGAAGCTTGCCTTCTGCTAATAGGAATCTTAGGGCAATGCCAAATGACTCCTACAACACTCCTCTTACTCTCAGCTATGATACTTTAAGATGGGTGCTCCCAAGCGCCTTGGCAGGAGCTTTCTGCTTTGGAGTTTGATGTAAAACATGGCAGGTCTTGGGCTTTTTGCATTGTATTTCTTGTATGCTCTCAATGCTCAGCAAAAGGCCTCAGATGAAACAAAAGGGGGTGAGTCTCACAGCTCCTAGCTGAATTTTAGTTGCATATATATAGTTATTCAATAATTGTTTGATTGAATTTCCTAGATCCTTATGTAAACCGGATAAAATTTACAAATATTTTCCCAAGATCAACAGGCTTCAAGGGCTTGCTCCCAACTGAGAGATCGGATGAAAACACTACATGTAATTCATAGTACCTACCATAAACCAGGATGAACACAGACAGCCCCGACAACTTCTAACTTTAAAAGGAGAAAGAAATGGGTAAGAAACTTCCTAGAGGGCCTGCTTGGCATTTTGACGGACTTTTAGCTCAGTCATACCAAAGATGCAGGGCTAAAGCACTAACAGATCCCCCGCCCGCCATCGCTAATGCAGACTGCTCATTAAAAAAGGGCAGATAAACATTACACTTCCCATAAAATCCCTCTGAGATGTGCCTCTCCATACACTGCAAGTCAAATACCAATACACAGTGACCATTTTAATAACAGCACTGCTTCTCTTAATTGACCTAAATGCTACCGCTGAGAGTATTTTCCGTCCAAACAGCCCTTCTTAATGGTACGAACACGGGAGTCGAGGGAGGTCTGAACTGCCCAGTTTTCTTTGCGCATTTTCCAGATGTCTGCCATTCACAAAATGCCAGAAAACAAAAGAAAAACAAAACTTAAACAACTGCCTTTATTACATGGCTTATTAAGCAAAAGGAAAGATGGTCATTTCTACACAACTGAGAGCAAATGTGATAGTCTGAGATGCACGCAGACTTCAAGAAAAAAAAACTCACAAGAAACAGGAGAAACATAGAATGCAGAGTGCTATACTGCCCAAGCCAAATTGTATTTTTCTTTCTTTTTTTTTTTTTAATGAAACTATATCCCCAAAAGGAAAAGAACAAGAGGCTGTATCTGTCCCATCAATAGTCTCCATTCCATCAACTGCTTTCCTATGAATATTTATTGTTCATTGAGAAAAATCAATGTTGCTGAGGGAAAACCCGGTACATTGATAGAATTGTACCAACGGTGGATATCTGTCCCCTCTATGCTTTTGAGAAGATTTTTGGTATTCTCTGTTTTCACTTCTGTCTGATTTCTGAAAGACTCCAATCTGATATAACCTTGGGCAAAGCAAGTTACTAATATTTAAACTTAACTAACCTAAAAGAGAAAACAGAGTTTAGACCATTCAAATCCATTTACTGATTAAGTGGGAGGACCTGTAAACACGTCATTTTACCCAAAAGCAACAGAAAGGAAACACAAGGAGATTTTCACATTATATTAACTGAAAGATTTTCCAGATGTTCCTTTGGGAAGTGGGTTAGAACTGGAGATCAGCATTTACTACCCTGGTACAGGGCTTCCCTAGCCTTCAAAACTTTACCCATATTTTTGAACCACTGATACTACTAAACAAACAATGATCTTTATTTAAATTTAGCTACCTTTCAAAAATTATTTTTAAGAGCCAGGTGTGGTGGCACACACCTGTAATCCCAGCACTTGGGAGGCTGAAGCAGGAGGACTCCCACAAGTTCAAGGCCAGCATGGGCTACATATTGAGTTCCAGGCTAGTCTAAACTGTACAGCCAGGCTCTGTTTCAATAAACAAACAAAATAAAATTTTATAATAATCTTTTATATACTATAGAGAAAAACCAGTGTCAATGGTAATAAGCAGAAGATAACTGAAAAATAAATCCTTTTTCAAAAAGTACTAAATTCAAAATAGGTGCTGGCTGTGCTTGAAGGTTGGTACATGTAACCATTCTCACCACATATGCAGGTATAAAAGAAGTGCTGGAGATACGGTAAGATCAAATGCTGCCTTCTCCAAAAGGCTGAAAGAAAACTGAAAAAATACTACACCTCCTTATATAGCTTAAGTCATTTAGCGCCATGTTTGTGGACTACTGAAACTGTTTCAGATATTGACTCAAGCATCTACCTGGGTAAACTCGGAGCTCGTCCACTAAACACTACATGGAGTAGTGTAGCCCACACGGAGCACAGACTTATGGTAAGAAGGAAAAGCCCTCAGCCTTCACACAAGGTGTCCCAACTTTTACTCCCATCAATGACCACACTGATATGGAAAAGGTAAGACAGAAATGCGTCATCACCTCAAACCAAGGACTACAAAAAGGAACAACCTCTAGATTTTATTGACATCCTTATTTTATTAAACAGATGAGGCCAGCTTAGGCATACTGAAAAGAATCTTACGTATTAAGAAGGCTGGACACTTGTTTTCTCAAGATAGCAATGAAAATAATGAATAGCCCTACAAAGTAGAAAGTCACTGTGCAAATTCTGAATTTCAATTAGGAATGAGAAACACATTCCATACTATTCAAAAGATAGTATTTAATCATCTTTTTCTAGGCACAACCATACAACTCTTGTTGGGGGTTAAAAGAACTAAAAAAGACAACAAAATACAACAGTATGTAGTACTTACTGGTAATGAACCCAAGATGGTCCCAGAGTTTTCTTGAACTGAGCAAGTCCCACAATATCAATATAAATGAGCTCGACGATTCTGTCTCCTACAGTTGGGCAGCCAGACCGGTTCCCTACAACCTTCTTCATAATTCTACAGAAAAAGGGCAGAAAAGAGGGCAGAAAAGAAACCACTTACTTTGAGGTACTGAACTTGGCAAATTTAAGAGGCAAATAACCACCCCCAAAATTTTTATGACAGCGTGGCCCTTCCAAGTCTCTCAACTGTCTCAATTCTTCAGACCTGTCAAGTCCAACCTAGACCCCGATTCTGAATCGTGAAAAAGCAAACAGCACTGTGAACAGACTATCTGAAACCCAGGAAGGTGTGGCTCTGCATCCACCTTCACTGTCTAGCAGTTAGGAGACCTTCGGGAGGTACTTGGCCTGAATCTCTCTTTCCTCACCCCCAGGAGGGAAAAAAAAAGATTGAATACAAAGGTGATATTCTACCTCTTACTTATCTGACCTCTCCATTTTCTAAATGTTTTCCACTTTTAGGCGCTATAGTACTGATGACTTTTTATACAGTCTTGCCCTGTTCACTAATTTTTCTGTTATGTCAAATTTCTCCTTTTAACTAGACTACATTCCAGAACTGGCACTCGGGACTATATTTTTTCATTAACTTTTCTTTCACTCATGTCCTCAACCTCCTACCTGGACCTATAAGGCCACCCCTGCACTCAGGAGCAGTATGCCAACCTTACGGGTAGGAAGAAATACTAAGCATCTCAGAAATACTCAGAAACAGTCAGCACTCTCGCCTCCTAGCACTGTTCACACTTCACTACAATCCTTCACCGCTCCATGAAAATCCTAGGACAAAAATCACAAACGGAGCTCTGTTCTACAGGGCTGTTCCCCTATTATTTTAAGGCACCCTTCTCCTCCCTCTCAGAGTTTCTGACAAGGGTAGGTTCCACAGAATCAATTTCTTCCTAAAGATTGGAAAACTTTTTATAAGGGCTGGAAAGTAAATACTTTCATCTCTGCAGACCACACAACTCGGCCACCATAGGATGAAGGTGGCCGTAAACGATACCTAACAACGAAGATAGCTGCACTCCCCTGAAACCTCACCAAAACAGAGACAGGGCTGGTTTGCCTGTAGTGTGCAGACCTCTGGTCCACCCTGTGTTCAATCGTTCTCAAACCTATTTACATGCTGGATTTACTTGGATGCATCATAAAATACTTATGGCTGTGTTCTACTCCCAAAGGCTATGTTAACTGCTTTGGGAATGGTCTACGAGGACTTCAAGGAGATCCCCAAAACCTAAAAAATTAAATAGAAAGCTCCCAAGTGATGCTAACTGCAGGCATATTTGGGGATCACTCTTCTATGTTGTTCCCCCAATTATCTTCCTAAATAAAACACGTCTAGTCCTGATCTTGATGTGATAAAGAGCAACACCACCACAGACTTTCCTTTGACTACAGGGTAAGTCTCTGCCTGGTGAATTTCTAATAGGCCTCTTCTGAGCTCCCTAAGCAGTTCCTGTCATTGATACTTGCATAGTATCCATTTGTTCAGCTACCCATTCATTCATTTACTCACTCATTGGTTCAGTATTTGTACGAGCACCTACAGTGTACTAGGCACTAAGTGCTAAATATACCGTGGTGAATAATATTCAGTTTTCTGCACTCCCTGTACTTACAATCTAGAATCCATATCTCCATTAGCACTAATAGATTTGTAATTACTACAATTATTATTTAATGTATTAGCTGTAATTATCAAATGACTGGCAGCCCCTTAACTACAAGCTAGTCAATGCTGTGGGTCCCATACCGAAACCAGCTTATAGGAGGCACTGAGTAAGTGATGAAGAAGAGTATGAATGCATCCACATTATGGGTTACGGACCCACCATGCTTGAGAGCAAGCAGGAAGAAGGCAACAGGACACAGCCTGTTTAGGAGCAGGGGGGAGGATTAAGGGTTGAAAAGACCTCTAGCTTGTCTTTCTCTGAAAAAACCAATGCAGGACTGGGTGCAAATCACCATGATCCCTAAGACCTCAGACAACACACTTTGGTTTGAATCTCAGCTTTCTTATTTTTAAAATGCAGACAACAGTAGTACCTACCTCAGGCGCTACAGACCAGTAAGTGGTCCACAAAGGTTAGCTGTAAATAGTCATGATCAACAAGAGTTGTCATAATTATTGATACTACCATTGTAACGTTTATCATTTGAAAAAATGACTGACAAGTGATAGTTGATATATTCACCGAACTTATTGCTTTTATCCCAATATATACTGCCACCAACCAGGGATGGAACTTGCACGTAAGGTAAGGGACCTCATCGGGCATCAATGCCTTGAACCATAGAATGGGAACAGGATGGATCATTTATTTGCTTTAACCCCCTGTTCTAGCTCTCTCTCAAATGTTCATTCACAGCATTTCTCCTGGAAATACTGGACACTGCCACATGGTATTTGGCTGCCGGGTAGGACATCCCTAAGGGCAGTTACCCAGGAGGGAGGAGATCTAGGTGTCCCTGTTTGGCCAGCTGTGTAAATGGAAAAGGGATTGCGAGATGGTTAGAGGTAGATGAGAATTTCAGCGTAACACAAAACCAAGGAAGAGTTAACAGAATGAGCTGAGAGTTGGCTAATTGAAAAAGGATTGGATCAGGGCTTTCAGGAAATTTATTTTACCCAAATTAAATTATACACAGGAACCTGCCTTGTTTTAAGACTTAGAAAGCCTGATGTTGAGCAGGGAACAGTATGAATTTCAGTAAGAGATGGGGAATTAGAAAAGTCAATAATGGTTTGTGCTGCAGATGTGGGAAGCACCTGTAATAGCAAAGAATAAGCTCCTTAGTTTGAATTTTCTGGCATTCATTCATGAAGCCTCGGGAGCCTGCAGCTACAATGAAAACATATTATCCTTTTCACAGTGTATGTATTTAGCTCCCAAAAATAATCTTCTTATCTCCTGTTTAGTGAATTATCACTTTCATTTTCCTCTGCAAGAAATTACACACTAATAGAGGGTTTTAAGAGTTTACAATTTCTTTTCTGTATCCTGATTTTAAAATTGAAAAGTAATCTCCTTACTCCTTGAGCTCAGCCAGTGAAGCTGAAATCCTAATGTCATGGCCCAGTAAGTACAGAGATGTAATTAAATCACTCCACTGAACTAATTCACCAAGAGGGCCACCACTGAACGCTGTCTCTGCGATCTTAAATCCAGATTCCTTGGTCAGGAGTCCCAGGTGAACAAGGACCTGGAAGACAAAAAAGGGGCATATTCATTTGCACTGAACCACATACAAGGCACACAATGCCACACCACAGAGCGATCAACCAATTCTAACAGCACGCTTATGTCGTAATGAAATCTCAACATGGGGTATGCCATTTTTCTAGAAGGTAAGAAAATGGGAAAGCAGTAATTTTTTCATGGTTTTGAGAGGGAAAATCATTACTGTCCTTAGTGTGGCTATGAATATGAGGTATGGATTATCTTGTTTTATAAAAATAGGGTACACTTGTAAAATCAGAATTAAAGGAAAGTAAGCTAAGATACTAGAGTATCTTTTAAGAGTATTTAGCTTTCTCTTTTCCAGAGCTGAAATATTTAAATCTTTTCCAATGAAAAATTTCCAACAGAAAAAATCAGGCAAGACGATACAGTCAGCCCCAACAGGCTTCCCACATAATTTCAACAACTATTAATTCATGACAAATCTTATGTAATCTATATTTCCTTTTCTCCTGACCCCCTAGAGTAATTTTGAAGCAAAAGTCAGAGGTTCTTCTTGCCATCTGTAAATATTTCAAAATGTATCTGTAAATAAAAATAAACCTTCACTTAAAAAAACATGGCCCCATCACTGTCACCTCTAAAGGAGCTATTAATTCCTTAATGTCACCCAGAATACAGTTAATGCTTCTAATTCCTCAGCTTACTCCTGCCCCCTGTAAGGGCAGTTATGTGATTCAGAAGTTAAAGTGTACACATTATAACTGCCTCATTCATCTCTTAGCCGCCTTTAATCTCTGTAATTCCCTATTAGCCTTTCTTTGAGGGGGTTGTTTATAATTTATTCATTAAAGACACTGGGTTATATTTCTAACAGAGTCTCCCACATTCTGAATTTTGCTGATTGCAAACCTAAGGCATTGCAAAAACAGATCATTCTGTCCTTCGTATCTGTGGTCCATTAGTAATTAAAGCTTAAGGTATGATCAAATTCACATTCAATTTTTTTACTTCCTAAGTGTTACTCTGAACTTTCCCTAGAGAGAAAAATACATAGGTATCCTTGTTTTGGGAATTAGCAGCCACTTATAATCAGTAACTAAACTCAAGTCTTTTGGGGACAGCAAAGTATTGATATATTCTATCATTCCTTTTTCATCTATTAGCTAAAAATACATCTATAAAGAGAAACTCCTCTATTTGGTCAAGCCGAGGTACAGTTTGCATAGAATAAGCCTACTAAATACTTGATTTTTAAAAATTTATTTTCCAGTTTTCAGGATAGCAAGCTTTTTTGGTTTTGTTTTTTAGTTTTTTTTTTTTTTGAGACAGGGTCTCAAAAATTCACTATGTAGCCCAGGCTGGTCTTGAACTCATGGTGATCTTCCTACCTTCTTTAGTGTGGATTACTTCCCTTTAATTCTGACTTTACAAGTATATCCCATTTTAAAAAAGCAAAATGATCCTGAGTGCTGGGATGACTGGTGTGTGCCACCATGCCCAGCAATAACAAGTTTTTTGAAAGCATATTCTAATTATGATTCATGTTCTGTGTAGTTTTTACATATTATAAAATTATGCACATAAGCATATTTAATGTGTTTCACTAAATTGTGGTTATTACCCTATCAAACTGTCCCACCTTGACCAGCGGGAGGCTCTTAAAGTGGGCTCCTCAATTCTTTGGGCACATCCTCACAGCCTTTCACAGCTTCTTTGCCCTTAGGTACGACAAGATGTTCTAAGTTTGCCATGTACAACTTCTACCTCCTTGACATGCCGATTTTCCAAGAATCTCTTACACCACTTGGTGGAAAGAGCATTTAGAGATCAAAGTCTAGGGTTTAAGGGACCCTAATGAATCACTGAAAGCCTTTTCAGTGGTACTAGCTAGGAAATGTATTATTCCTCTATGATACAATAAATTAAGAGTTCTTACCAGTACTTCAAATTCAAACTCAGGACTGTAATATTTTTACATAACACTATTCATCTTATATCTGTTATTTCCTCTCTCCCACAATGAAAATCCCACTTCTCAAAGACACTAACATAATTATTCATTTGTGGTTATCCAGTTATTCACAATGAATTCAGAATGAGAACACTGATACTTCCAAATACAACTTGATTTGTAAAAATTGTTTTAAAATATTTTTGCAGCTCTTTTTGTCCTCTGTGACATCCCATCAGAAATGTTCCATTTATTGGATTCTAAAGGCATTAACAATAGTTCTCTCAAAAAAAAAGTAGTTCTCTTAGTATGCTTATATCAAAACTGGGTGGATATGTGGTCAATTCTTCATTTTTATTTTCCTTATGAATTTTATTATAATTAAATGTTCATGCAATGTAAAATGGCTCCAGCATCAAATGTACAAAGCATGATACATTCAGAGAGGTTTAGTTTCTATACCTTTTATCTCTACACTAGTCCCTTTTTTTTTATTGTGCTAAAGTAAGCAGTTACTCTTTTAATAAAATTTACCCTTTTAACATATGCAGTTTAGTAGCATTAAGAACATTTACCTCTCACCACCATCCATTTCCTTTATTTTTAATTTTTTGATTTTCTCTTTCAATTTATAAAAATGTAAGTGTAATAAACATACGAAAGTTACATATTTGTGTAGATGTACAGATCTGTATGTAGGCATGCATGCAGATAAAAAGTCCCTCTTCCTTTTAAAAATAATGTATACTAGTCTCCACTTAACTTTTTTACCTGACGATATATCCTGCAGACAACTCATTAAAACTATGGAGAAATATTCTTTCCTTTTACCGGCCACTTGCACACTTTTAACACATGCTCCCCACACACTATTTATTTAGTGCCACACTGTCAGGTCATGGTGTCTCAAACTCAAGGGATCTAAGCACAACTGACCCATTAAACTGTGACTTGGGGTATTATAAAATGTATCCATATATTCCTTTTCAAAGATATTAAATGTGTCAGATTCATTCTGAAGTTCTTTTTAGATGTGGGAACAAATGGTTTACTTTGCTCTGAAATCAGAACATTTAATCCACAGCCATGTCCCTGAATCTATAACAAAGTAAACAAATGGTTTAATTTGCTCTGAAATCAGAACATTTAATCCACAACCATGTCCCTTAATCTATAACTAACAGGATAGAACATCTTCTAGGCCAGGGGCATGCCACAGGGTTTCTAAGCATGTCCCATGAACTTAAACAACATGGCTCAAGTTTAATAAAATCTCCTTCCTAGATATAGAAGCAGAAGCACCAATTAGATAGAACAGCCGTGGAACTCACAGGCCCAGACCCCAAATGAACAAACCACCGCCATGTGAAATTGCCACGGTGCTGTAACAGGAAGTCCCCAAAGGCTGGACTCATGGAGAAAGTTTCCTACTACCCTCAGACAGACAGACAGACAGACAGCTGAAAGGAAAACCTGACAGGCAAATGTTAAATTTAACTTTACTGAGAAATTTGTATTGGTCTCTGCTAAATGAAAGTATTGCAGATAATAAAAGCTAAAAAAGGGCTGCACAAGAGGCTAGGCTGATTTACCTTCAGGGATCATTTGAGACATGACATTTCTCTTACTCTTGTCTGCAAGCAAAATCAAATTTTGAAATAAAACTGGCATCTAACTGAAATGAATTAAGAAGAAACTCACTTTCTTCCGCTTTCTCTTCTCAAGATTTTGCTTTTCTGCCAGGGACTTGATTGCCTGGATCCAAGCATCAGCCATTCGCCGGATCCGCAGTCTCATCCATCGGAATTCTTCATGCTTTTTCATCATACTATAGAGAATATTAAAATCCGTACGAATTTCTGCCTAGAAACAGAAATTTAATAAAATGTATAGAAGATAAAAGCCAAAAAGCCTAATGCTTTTCATGATGTGATATTTGAAAACTTGAAAGCAATAGTCAATTAAAACCAGGGCTTCAAAAATGCATCTTGCCATGCTGCCCAGCTTTTATTAGTAGGTCCCAGGATTGCAAATTAAAGCAAAGGTCCCTGAGTGCTGATCCGTTATAAGGGATATCATTAAAAAATTAGAAACTGAGAAAGGCAGTGCAGTCACTGCAAAGCCTTGAGCTATGTTAAAGTGCAGTTTTTACAACAAGCATGCTTGATGTACCTTGAAATTCTCTGTTCTGAAACTTATTGTGCTACTTGGATCGACTGCTAGATAGCAGACCCCCAGGAAAACTGAAGTCAGATCTGAATATGTTATCCAACATCATGTTGGCCGCCAATGAACCTCTTTCTGTACACAGAATTAAATAGGGAAATAAATGCTCATCTTCTAGTTTTGTCCCAGTTCAAACCACCAAAAATTTATTATTTTTAAGGTATTTAAAAACCAAGGATAGGGGCTGGGGATTTAGCTCAGCAGCACAGCGCCTGCCTGGCAAGCGCAGGGTCGTGAGTTCAATTCCCAGTACCAGAAACAAAACAAAACAAAACAAAACAAAATATATATATATATATAAACCAAGGATAATCTTTCCCTACCACAGTTTAATACTGTTTAAAATTCTGACCAGTATGATTTAAAGTCCAAGGGGTATTTTTCCTAACATGCTGAATAACACAGCTGGGTGCAACTCATGACTGCAGCCAGAGAGAAACACAGTACTAGTATTTATTTCGCAGAACACCTCGAACACACTGAATCTATCTTTTAGTTGTCACCATAGTTCACTTAAACACCCATCTACCACGGTTCTTGTGGTCAGCCACAAGAACTAGGGCCCACCCAGCCAAGCCCCTTGATTTCCATATTACCTATGGGTATTCTGTGCTAGAATGGCAGAACTGAATAGCTGCAACACAGACTGCACAGCTTGCAAAGATGAAAATATTTACTATGTAGCTTTTCAAAGAAAAGTTTGTCAATCCCTGGTCTAAAGAACAAAGGCTTCAGTTTTCAAAGTGGCACATGCAGTGATTCACAGTCTCTTCCCCACCTTTCCAATCTCAGCTTCATCTCAGCCTCATCCAAATCTCCCCTCCCCGTCCCTGAGCTACGCTCTACAATACCAAGTGTTCACTTTCATGTTAATCTGGGATACCTTCTCTCCTTGACCTCTTACAAACTCATTCATCATCTTAAATTCAGCTCGAATGTCATCTTCTCTTTGTAATCTACCCTGACCTTTGCAGGCTTCCTCATTATTGCTGTCAGCCTACTTTAAAGCACTGTGACAGGCATGGTCATTATTTACAACCACCGTCCTCAGTAGGTCACCCACTGCCTACACATTGGCACCAGCTCTTACTCCTATCAGTTGCCCATCATCTCGGGACCCTCAAAGAATTGCTCAATAAATAAATCTATGCTAACAGGTTGACTGATTTGGTCACCTTGATTTCTACAGGCCTGGTAGTGAAAGTTCTTCAGCTGAACACTATTTTAAACTATAGCTGGCAAATCTAAGAAGACTCCACATGCATCACTTAACAGCTGACCTAAATGCACAAATTTAGGAAGAGTTTTCCAAAATCATTTACCAGTGAATTATGATCAGCTTCTTCATAGGGATTTTTTGCTCTCCAAGGTAAATGAGGACACCAATTTTCAACCTGCAAAACATAAATCAGTGACACTAAGTATTATAGTTTATCTTCAAATGGATTAATATGTGTACAATGTGCTGATAACTGTTTCTGGCACACAACAGCAATATTAATGTGGGATAGTATCAGCTAGCGATGCAGGTTCCCTCTCAGGTGGGGAACAACAGGAGCATTTGGAGAGGTTTGACCATCTGTCCTTCAGAGTACTTTCCAGGGACTGATTACATTTCTATTTAATCCTCACACTTCTATACCAGACAGAGAAACTTCGAAAGCTTAAGGACTGGAACATGGCTATAGGAAATGAGAATGTGAAGGTGCCTCTGTGGCCATGGAGCAAATGGACAGGAACGATCTGCCACCTGAGGCTGCCTGCCAGGAAAATGAACAGGGTGGCATCTGAACCACAGAACTCAATGTTTTTATCTGAGACTCACCAACGCAATCAATACCTTAAGGCCAGTTGGTCAAGGCTTTCTCTTATTTTCTGGCTATTCACTTCATACTACTTTAGGAAATATGGCGTTAAAACCTACAGGAGGATGAGATGAAGGGAGAAATGGAAGCTGGATTGTTCTGTCAATGCCAGGTTTAGGTATTTGGGGGGAGGGAGGAAAGAGAAACAAAGAAAGCACCAGGAATAAAGCACCTAGACTTCATAGGAATTACTTCAAAGACAGTTACAGCAAAGAAAATCGTGCAAATTAATTTCTAGGAAATGAAAAACGAGAAATCCATAGAGCAATACTGATGTTCGGCTTGCCTAAAATAGTCATAAAACTTCAAAATAACATTATTAACCATTTAGTAAAATATAACTTTAGTACATTTGGCTAACAGTCAGGCATTCAGAATATTTTTTAGTATCGGCTGGATCTTTCAAATGTAAGCGTGGCGCGTCCTTGGAGATGGGAGGACCATGCGGGGAACCACAGACTCATGGCTCAGCAGAGCAGAATTGTGCAACGCAGTTCGCCCTCTAGAAATGGGTGAGTTTGCAAAGAAACATGTCAGTTTCACTAACCTAGAAATTATTCATAAGGCAAGGTGTTGTTTCCTCTGCCCAAATATAATTGGTCTGATTTGCATAAAGCCATCTGCCACTGCCAGTGATCCGAAAGCAGCACGCCAAGGGCAGCAAGGCTTAGGGGAGGGCAGAATAATCCCAGGATACAAAAGTGCAATATTCTCTTTTCCTCTTAGGCAGTAAAATTAAGAGTTTATGATATTTGTGAATGACTTTAGAGACTCAAAACCACTCCCCACAAGAAAAGCTGAAATTGCTTTTATTCATTAAAAAAAAAAAACAAAAAAACACTCACCTGCTTTGGAGGCCTATGGTCTAATTACTGCGGCTTTCAGCTATATGACCATGAAAGGGAAAATGTGGAGTTCCACAAAGGAGAAAAATGAGAAAAAAAGGAATTCTGCAAGAGGATGACATCTCAGGCAGTTGCAACATTACACACATCTGCACCTCATATTCTTAGCCCAGATTGAATTATTTAGACCCAATTAAATTTTTGTAAATGAACGCAATGAAACATCCTTGTAAAATGTATATTTATGACATGAAGGCTTCAAATGGATGACTTCACTGTGATCCTTCCACCCATGTCCCCCACCACAGACACACACACACACACACACACACACACACACAAGTAAACAAGGTACAGATTTGAAGTAAGCCTTACAACAAAATAAACAAGTTTATAAAGTAATCCATTGGGATTAAAAAAAAAAATCTCTCCACGAAGAGCATGATTGAGAAAGATGAAAAAGACTATGAATAAAGATCATCAATTAAAAGGAGAGGGGCTGGGGATTTAGCTCAGTGGCAAAGCGCCTGCCTGGCAAGCGCAAGGTCATGAGTTCGGTTCCCCGTACCGGAGAAAAACCAAAAAAAAAAATTAAAAGGAGACACATCAGTGAGACCATATATTGATAAAGGACAGTACATTCCCTTCTCATTTCTCTACCCTGAGAAGACTCTTTCAAGATTTCAATCTGATGAAAATACAGTTCAAGGTGATCTAAAATATGACTTCCATACAAAATCCTCAAGACTGTAATTCCTCTCTGAAGTTGACCATTTATCTTAGTCTTTCTTACTCTAAATCACTAGATGTTACTTTGCAAAATTCCAAGCGCATCCCTTTACAAATATGGAAAAGAGCATTGGTCCAACCGAGCTTTTAGTGAGAAACTTCAGTTACACATTCACTCAGAATGGTGGAAAATCTGATTGTCAACATCTTAACCCAGAACAAAAGGGTGGGTTTTTAGGGTTGTTTCTGTACAGACTGATAGGATAATTGGTTAATGAAATAATTAAATTACATGTAAAACCAATTGTCCCATAGAGAGAAAGGGAAAAAAAAAACAAGCCATTTCTTTCTGAAACCTCAGAGGATTACCAGGATTGGAAGAAAGCCAGCACTGGCAATAACTCCACGTACTGAAACGAACAGCCCTCCCATGAGCAACATTTTCCTAAATAAGAGTCACATTAATAACATTCAGGGAAAATCTTGCTCATGGCCTACAGCACAACCTCCCGGTATCCTAACACTGTTTTCTGGCTAATCTGACTATAACTTAACCCACCAGGAGAACATCCTACCAATAAAGCCAGGCCCCTAGGAGGTGGCCATCCCCTGCCTGACCTGGAGGCAGCCCTCACAGTTAAATACCATTCTGCATAGTGCCTCTCCTGACTCACAACTCCAGTGTCCTACATTTGCTTGTGGCCACCTTCCTCCACCCAGTGCCTTAGCCACACTTTCCCAATGGTGGCATTTAATTGTGTATCTGTCCTCAGCGCAGATATCCTAGAAACATCGCCCGTAACTCTCTGCCCCCTCTCTGCAGAACTCTCAGAGCCTCGGCAACCCCTCCTCAGGGCCTTTGCCTGAGAAGCCATTGGATGTCTTTAATAGTAGCCTGTAATTCCCTGCAGTTAAGTTTCAAAATTGAAAACTGTCTGAATTTATGGTAACATGCACACAACAGTTGATAGAGGAGCAGAACCATTACTCTAATAACCTTCAATTTGAGGCAAAACTCCTTGGACATGAACTGATCCTTTTAGTGCACTGGCCTCAGGCCACAGAATGAGGAGGCAGCCGAGCCGGAGACCAGCCAGCCTGGCATTCTGGAACACTGATGCATATTCCACAGAGAGGGCCCTATAAATCACTTTCCTTGAGCGAGGAGACATAAAATAAAACAATTTGATTTTTGACATTTCTCCTCCTGGTGATTTAACCTCCTTTGAACTAACAAGGTTTTGCGGCTTAATCATGAGGACTGAGAATCATCAAAGCATTTTCAAGTCCCTCAAACTTCTAACTAGGTCAGGCTTATTTTCAAGGTCTGTAGGATGAACACTTCATTATGTTCAGGTTAAAAAAAAAACCCTGCAGTTGGATACATATAGAGCTCAAGCTGGAGTTTAAAGGAGGAATGAAGTAGTAATGAAATTGCTGCAAAACCCAGAAAGACTCAAGGTTTAATATATACACATTTAAGTATACCATGGTGTCAATGCAGAAATATTTTCTGTTGAAAGAAGTGTCAGACTGTGTTATAGGCTCTATTTTCACTATCAATGTGCAGAGTTGTGTTCAAGTGCATCACTGATAAAGGAGTTTATGTCCTATTTCTTAGATGGGAAGTATAATCAGACCTAAATGGGAAAATGCACAGAAAAATACTCAGATTATCTGTGGATAACAGTATTATGGGTGCTTTTCATTTTCCTCTTGTTAATCTGCATAATTTCTGTAAGAAACATTAAGGAATAGAATTATTAAATGAGATACATTACAAAAATATACAAATGTTTACTTTAGGCTTAGCATGTATCAGGTTCCCTGAAAAATAACACAGAAATATGCATATTTCAATCACTTAACCCCTGAGGGGCCCAGGTTGTGAGTACTATCACCACATAAAAACCCAAGGCTTACTGACAATTTGCTGAGGTAATCCCGCTAGGGAGGAGCGGGCCCAGGGGACAACTGCAATGTGTTGTTTCCCTGACCAAGACTAAGGAGGTCTCTTTAAGATCAAGCTTAGTGAGGGACCAGAGAGCTGCTGGATGAAGAAAGAGGACTGAGTCTGGGATCAGCCAAAATGTGTGTGCCCAGCTCTGCAAATAGCTAGACATGTAACCTTAAACTATGCGGCTTTCAAGATTCCTTGTATCCTTCATTCTGTTATATTGTAAAGTCAAAAACAGAATTTTAGGTCATCCTGTTAGCTAGCTGTTAGCTGATGTAAGAAACATTAGCTGCTGTAAGAAACATTAACAAATAGAATTACTAAATGAGATACATTACAAAAATATACAAATGTTTACTTTAGGCTTAGCATGTATCAGGTTCCCCGAAAAATAACACAAAAATATGCATTCATCATCCTGTTAGCTGATGAACACAACTGTCTGTATGGCAATTTGCTTGTACACATGCAAACACATACTCGTTATACTTATCAAATGTAGTGACTCACTAATGAACATGCTAAAATGTACACAAGGGACTTCTCTCTACCACACACCAATCGTCTGCCCACTCTACACTCTTAAGCTTCAAACGGGAGTGCCTCAGCTACACGGCCCCTGCACAGGACAACAGTGGTGATTAATATTTTGGCCCAGCAGCTTGCTGAGGGTTGTATATGGGAGACTGGGTACAAGAGACAAAGGGAACAAACATCTATCACCAAGTAGCAGGATCTGAGCGCTAGGATGAGCCCGCTGCACGCATAACCTCACTTGGTCACTTGGTCATTCAAATAATCTTTTGAGAAAGACTGCTTATCATGCCAGATGAGGACATGAGACAGAGACAGGATTTAGCTAAGGGCTGAAATGCTGTCTGTCCATCCTGCCCCAGAGCTGGTAAGCTTAATCACTACTTAATAAGCACACAAACCAAACTTTTGGGGTAGAACATCAAAAGAAGCTGCAGTAAGTTCTGTGTCCCTGGGGTTCTAGT